TCCTCCCTTTTTTACCTTTGCAGATTTCGAACTCCCAACAATCATTCTAAGTGGAATTTCTACATCATCACCACAGCAGCAACACGAAGACACGTCTCAAAATCAAGACCAACAACCATCGCCACTATACTCAGCCCCCACCCCTCATCAACAAGAGAAACAGCAGCATCAACCGTCACCGCCTCCATCACACCAGCAACCATCTCCACCCGATGTACCTCCTCTTCAATCCTCTCATACTCTCCAGCAGCACCAGCAGCAACAGCAGCATCCTCCCGACACTCACAATCTTCAACCTTCCCTCACACCTCTCGTCGTTCATCGGCCTAGCGGCTATCGCCCAGCAGCCCTTCTTCACCTTCCAGGTCGTCGTCAACTCATACCATCAACCATGCAGCCACCACCAACACAACGTCACACATCTTCTCATATCCAGCATTCGACAATTCTAACTACTAGAGCTCCATGAGAAGTCCAATCTCAACCAGCAGCACCACAAAAGTCACCCAACTGGATCGATATCAATTATCCACTAGACATGAGCACGTCGTCCTCTGCAGCACCACCAACACTTTCTACTCCGTCTTCTGCGCAATTCACCTCTCATGTACCATACTCCACCCTCAGCTCACCTCCAAGTCATTTATGTAGCGGTCGCACCTGCTTCCAATGCAGGATCCATGCCACCTGTTTTGCCATCTCCCAACTTCCACCCGAGCCACTCAATCGTAAAGAAGCTATGGCAGGAGCATTTAAGGAGCAATGGTTAGCAGCGGAAAAGGCAGAACTGGAAAGTTTACTCGACCGGGGAATTTGGACTTTGGAGCCATTACCCAAAGGAAAGAAGCTCGTGGGAGTACAATGGGTCTACCGGGTGAAGGTGAAGGGTGATGGATCCCTGGACAAGTTTAAGGCTCGTTTGGTCGCCAAAGGATATTCTCAAGTTCCTGGACAAGACTACAATGAAACATTTGCTTCGGTCGCCAAGTACACTAGTGTACGCGCTCTTCTTGGCATGGCAGTACGGATGGATCTCTACATCATTCAGCTCAACGTCTCCAACGCCTTTCTTTACGGAATTTTAGAGGAGGAGATCTACACGGCTCAAGCTGATGGGTATCACGATGGTACTAAGAGAGTCTGCAGGCTGCACAAGTCCCTGTATGGCCTGAAGCAAACTCCACGGGTTTGGTATCACGCATTGGAGTCCGCCCTGCTGGCACAAGGTTTCACACAGTTTGAGCATGACCCTCCACTCTACATTCTGCATACGGAGGTGCATGAGGAACTGTGGCTGATCGTGTATGTGGATGACATCCTTATGGTGTCAGGTTCTCTCTCCCTTCTTACCCACATCAAAAGTATGCTCACCAAGGAGTTTATCATGACAGACATGGGTGAGCCATCATATTACCTTGGCATGAACATCATTCGTGACCGTCCCTCTCGCTCTTTCACAAGAGCGATATATTCACATGGTCCTCTCTCGCTTCGGCTTTCTCACCTGCAATCCTGCATCTACACCTCTCCCTTCTAATTTTCAGCATACTTCCCCTTCCACTTCTAACCTTCATCCCTCTCAGTCTGAAACCCTTTCTGACTGGGACGAGTTTCACGAGGCTCTTGCGCCTTCATCTTCTTCATCCCCTTCTTCTTCCACCGCACCTCCTTCATCACTCCTTTCCCCCCTCGACATTAATCTTTACCAAAGCATTGTCGGTAGCCTCATGTACGCATCCGTCTGCACCCGCCCAGATCTCTCTCATGCTGTGGGCATGCTTTCTCAATTCCTTTCCTCGCCATCTACTCAGCACTTGAACGCTGCGAAGCGTGTCCTGCGCTACCTCTTTGGCTCTAAATCTTTTGGTCTCCTCTTTCACGGGCATGAGCATGGTAGTGTCTTGCATGGTTTCACGGATGCGGATTGGGCATGTCCTTTTTCAAAGCAGAAATCCACTGGAGGCTACATGTTTGTGATGGCAGGAGCAGCTATTTCTTGGCAATCGAAGAAGCAAGGCTGTGTGGCATTATCTTCAACGGAGGCGGAGTACATGGCTGTGACGCAAGGAGCAAGAGAGACTGTGTGGTTGAGAAGGTTGCTGACGGAGTTGGGTCTTCCCCAGCATGAGCCGACCGTTCTACACATTGACAACATATCGGCGATCGCCTTGAGCAAGAACCCGGTCTATCATGGACGCACAAAGCACATCGATACATAGTATCACTACATTTGGGAGCTGATTAAGAACAAGGTTGTGACACCGGCTTACTGCAGCATCATGGACTAGGCTGCTGACTTTGTGACTAAGATACTTCCACGGCACCTCTTCATTCTTGGCCGCCAACGTGCTGGATTGGTGCTGCTTGAGTCTCTTGAGTGCTTCTCCACTGCTGTCCCTTCCGCTCCTTCTTCATCTCGCTCTGCGGGTCAGCATTGGGGGGTGTTGGAATGAACTGCTGCAGCTGCTCGCGTGGCACGAAGGTGGCGGGACAAAATTTCACGTGGCAAAAATTTTCGCCACAGTTTCCCCATCAGCCAAAATTCGAACCTGCAAAAGACATCTTGCAAAAATGCCCACTCGCCACCACACCCTTCATATCTCCAGACAGCAAAGCATCATCACCTTTTCACCAATCAAAACTTATCAATCCTCCACCTCATCTCTCCTCCTATCCTCATCATCCTTCCCATCCCATCATCCACCAATCAAACAAAAGATTCCATACAAAGCCTTCAAATCCAAGCCACATTCTTTCCACTCACCAAGCTTTAAAATCAAAGCCAAATTCATCCCACTCACCAAGCCTTAATTTCAAGGCCACATTCATTCTCCTCACCAAGCCTTCACTTCAAGGCCACATTCATCACCCCCACCTTATCCAACTCAACCAATCACAATCATTCATCTTTTCCTCATCCTTCATCCAACATCAAGCTCCACCAAATACAAAAGGGTTCACCTCATTTCCTCAAACTCATACTTTCAAGTCACTTTACACCCAAGCTCTCTACAAGTTCCACTACAAGCTCTCTCAAGGCCACCTTCAAAGTCCTCCTCCTTATGCCCAACTCCTCAGGCTCCACTCATATCACCAACCTCTCCCAACCCAAGCTCATAGCCATGTTCTCCAACTCTAGAGAAGTTTATGCTTCATAGTCTTTCTTCTAGATTGTTATTAATGGTTGCTCATCAAATCCATCATGTACCTCCTTTGGACTAGTGCATTTTAAGTTTTAATGCTTCAACACCAAGTTTTGTCTTTCTTATCATCAAGATTCAAGCTCTACCTTTCAACACTCAAGCTTGGAGATTCTTCTCCATACAACAATCAAGATCTACCATTCAACACTCAAGCTTGGAGGTGCTTCTCCACTCAACAATCAAGATCAACTATTCAACACTCAAGCTTGGATCTCATTCTCATTTCAACAGTCAAGATCTACAATTCAAGCTTGGCTTCTCCAAGTTACAAAGCTCCTTTAATATAACAAGTAAGACTCTTTTAAGGTAAGTCACTTCTTTCATTCTTACCAAGCTTCTCTATTCAAGCTTCTTTGTCTTATTAAGCTTCCCTATTCAAGCTTTTTTGTTTTATTCAAGATTCTTTATTTAAGGCTTCTTCATTCTTATCTAGTCTCCTTTCTTCTCAAATCTTATTTGCTATTATCAAGTTTGTTTTACTTTCAAGCCCCTTTATCTCTTCATCAATCACTCATTCAATATATTCCTTCTAGTTAATATTCCTTTTCCTTTTAATGTTTTCATCATCTTTCTTTCAAGTTTATTAATATCTTATCTTTAACTTTCTCATTTAAAGTCTTTACATTCAAAACCAATCTCTACTTCAAGAATTTCTTTATCTTATCAACTTTTTCTTGTTGCAATCTTAACTCTTTCTTCTATGTGTTTTCTTTCTTTCTACTTGCTATTTACCCTTCCTCATCCTTTACTTCATTTTCAAGAGCCTCTCGCATTCCAAGCCGCCTTCTCTCGTTTTCGCGATCCTCCTGCATACCGAGCACTCCCATACTGTGTGGTAGTAATAAATCCAACCCGTGCGCCCTCACATGGATCCGTGTATCTCAATTTCTGTGCCTTACATTCGAGTCGACTCAAAAAGCTGACTTTTGAGTAGCCTCAAAAGTCACTCCTATACTGTTTGGTAGTAGTAAACCCAACCAGTGCACCCTCACATGGATCCGTGCATCTCACACTCCGTGCCTCACTTTCTTACTCCGATACTCTCTCCCTCTCTTTTTCCTCTTATGCTCTCATTCCGCGCCTCACTGCCACCCGTGCCTCACTGCCATTCCGCCCCTCACTTCCATTCCGCGCTTCACTGCTACCCGCGCCTCACTACCATTCCGCGCCCTAAACCTATTTTGCGCACTGCTCGCTCATTCCGCATCCCTCTCGTTCTCTATATTTCTATATATTCCCAGTTCAACTTATGCCGGTTGACCGCTCTATCGTCGATTTCCGTCAATTTCCGTCCTTCTTGGGATGCACCTCTACACTCTTTCTTACACTATTCATAGATTTGGCTCTCTCGCTGACCTAGAAGTAGATTGACAAGTTGGTTGGCACTTCGCCCTCCTGGCCCTCTGCTCTCTTCTTTCCCGTGTTGCAACCGTCAAGTGGATGCAGTGCGACATCTCTTGGTTCGTCCACCCCCGACTGTCGCAACCCAACGAACCAACAGTGACTGTTTCCTGAGGCTTTTTTTCATATACGTTCGATTGGCGTTAGAGTATTTGGGCCTCGCGTTAACAATATCATTGTACAGGGAAATCTTCCCTCCCGCCCCACATGCACACACCACGAACTACGCAGGGCGACACCTTGCCAACTGAAGACGCCAACAAGCATGCTTGCGCAACGTGCTGGAAACTTGCTCGCGAGTATCCCAATCCCCGAACCTGCCAGCAAGATTTTAACAATCGACGTTCTGCACTACCACACAAACCACGTTTTTCCCTATGCCGACCACGGCTTCTATCATGCGCCCAGATTCCCGAGGCGCCTAAGAAATTGCCTCTGCAGACAACTCAACACCCTACCGCCCTGCCCACACATGATTCTTGAGGCGCCTACACTACATGCACTCCCTCCCCAGCAACTTTTTTTCCCATGCCAACCACGGACTCTGCTGTCCGCCCAGCATCCGCCGCGAGCTTGGCGGTGTCGACCTTTTTTACGGAGTCGACCGCCTTGCTGACACCATTCGTGATGTTGTTTTTGGCGGTTTTGAAGCCATTCTTGACATCATTCGCAAAATTGCCTCTGGCGTTCTTGAGCTTGTCCGTGAACTCATTCCAGCTCAGCAGCTCCCTCCCTGACTCATCCACACCATCATCCATGGTGGCCCAGACTTCCTCCTCCTCCCCGCCGCCGCTGGCAGAGATGCCCACATTAAGGTTCACTGAATCTGCAGAATCAGCAACCGCCGCAGGCTCATATTCCAACAGTTTGCGGGAAGCGCGAACGGAACTCGCGTCGATCTTGGTGGCAATGAGAAGGTCCAGCTTTTGCGGCGAGACCGCCACGTGGAGGGAGGAGAGACACACGAAGGGTAGGGCGAGGACGAAAGCGAAGCGAATAAGAGCACCCATGGCTACAAGTTTCGAAAATTGTACTGAATTGGTAGTACTAGCAGATTTTAGACTGACTGAACTGAATCTGAGTCGTACTAGTGACTGGATCAGACGACATTTCAAGGGCTGAGTGAAATAAGATTTTGGCTGGCAGGAATTGGCCCTGCGTCGAGTGCGCCGCGGTGGGGTGGAGGAGTGGCTGTTCGTGTGCAGCTCATGGACCTACTCTTGTCTCAGCTCGCTGTTGGTCGCCTCACAATGCGGAAAAATATTTCGTGTCGCCCGTTTGTGGCACGCGGCTCTTTCGACATAAAACGGTAAGCACTAGCAGTAGTCATTCATCCACTCCAGTAATTGCACATGAAGTGCCGAGTTTTCCGACTTCGAAGACATACAGGTGGATTTAGCAGTGGGTTCGTGGAAAATGAGTTGGTAGGTTGGGCGCGCTGTTGGTGGGTATGTACGACGTTGGTAGGTGTGGTCTACGGTGCAAGCACTTGTTGTTAGATACACGTCGCACATTCTCGCTACATATTGCGGCGACGGGGATACTTGATTTGCTCTCACCAAAATCCAAGTGAGTACTCTTGGCATAAATAACATCTACATATCAGCGCTCCACAACTATTTTTAAAAGTACAACACTCTTTTTTTTTCTCATCCTAATAGCTCCAACTGAAATGCTATCATCAGTAGACATTGTTTATTATATATATGAAACTGCCTTCTGTATCTAGTCTTCAGGCTGAATTTTTTTTAATTCAAGGCAGTTGTTGGAGATGCAAAAGAATCCAGAAGAAAACTTTTGTTTTAGCTACTTCAAATAAAACAATCTCAAAGTAGGAACAAACGGAATGGTGAACTAGAAACAGGATGGGGTACAAATATGCAAACCTAAAAGTTGTACCCCCTAGAAGGCACCTCACTACAGCCTATACCACATATTATATATTTGACACACCCCCATGTCAAAACATATTTGTATGTTCCTAGTTCTGTTAGGCTACAGTGAGGTGCTCAATATAGAGTACAACCCCAGTTAGGGTTTACTACTTGTATCTCACTCTTGCTAGTCATTCACCATTCCTGCACAGATTATTCTGACATGGTTTCAGAGTAGGAAACCTGTTAAGTTTTTAGGGCTCACCGATAGTTCCGCTCGTTCTTGCCTGAAGCGCCCTTGCGCTGTCCTGCCCTGCTCGCACAGTGTCGCGCTGCCCTGCTGCCACGCGCGCTGCCTGCCCTAGCGCGCTCCCCTGCTACAGCCCTCGCGTCGCGCCCCAATGCTGCCCACGCGTCGTGCCCTGCTACAAGCTGAGCGTTGCGCCCTGCTGCCCTGCCCAGCGCGCGCCGCCCTGCCCTGCAGCCCGCGCCCAGCTGCCCTGCAGCCCGTGCATCGTGCTGCCCTGCCCTTAGGCCCGCACGCCGCCCTGCCCTGCAGCTCGCAAGCCACGCTGCCCTGCCCTTAGGCCCGCGCACCGCCCTGCCCTGCAGCCCAGCGCATTGCGCCCTGCTGCCCTGCCCAGCGCGTGCCCCGCTGCCCTGCGCGTCGCGCCCTGCTGCCCCGCGCGTCGCACACTGCAGCCCGCGCATTGCGCTCTGCTGCCCCGCGCATTGCGCTCTGCTGCCCCGCGCGTCGCACTGCTGCAGCCCAGCGCGTCGCGCCCTGCTGCCCTGCCCAGCGCGCACCCATCTGCCCTGTCCAGCGCGCGCCCCGCGCGCCCTGCTACCCAGCTTGCCAGCGCGCCCTGCCCTGCCGAGCCGCGCTGCCCAGGCCGAGCCGCGCCGCCCAGCCCGAGCCGCGCTGCCCATCCCGAGCCACGCTGCCCTGCCTCCTTTGCCAGCCCCACCGAGCCACCCTGCTGCTACTACTGCTGCTGCTGCTGCTGCTGCTGCTACTGCTGCTGATAAGATACTGCTGCCCTGACGAGCCACCCTTGCTGCAACTACTAGCACTATTGCTGGTGCTGGAGGTGCTGGAGGTGCTGCTGGGAATGCTGGAGGTGTTGGAGGTGCTGCTGGGAGTGCTGGATGTGCTGCTACTGACTGTCACTGCCTGTCATGGCCACTATCACGGTCATCGCAGCGGCTAGGGGTGGACAGCAGCAGTCACTGCCTCTCCCGGACAACCCCACCCATCAGCAGCTTCGTGAGTGGGTTATTCAGCAAGGCAGTCCTGGTGGTGGAGGTTTTTGTTTTATGGGTACTGCAGAGTGGCAGCAGCAGCGTCCGCAAGGCACCTTCTCCCTGCAGCGGCTTCGTGACTGTGCTTCTCAACGATGTGTCCTTGGTTGTGTAGAGGCTGCTTCTCTAGGTGCTACTGAGTCTACTGCAGCTCTAGGAGCTCGTGAGTCCGTCGCCGCTCAAGGTGCTAGTGCTGTTAAAGTAGTAACGTGAGAATAAATTGACTAAGGAAAATGAGAAACAAGCAAGATATAGGAAGCGTAACCCTAACCCTAGAAAAACATGAAGTACACCTAGACTAACACAAATAATCTATAACAAATATAGCTTGACACACCCCATAGTCTAGGTGACGGTAGTCCTGTGGGAAGCAACACACAGCAAGGGTCACAGGACCACTTCACAAAAACACAACAAATCTCGGGGTGTATCTCAAGATCACCACACAGTCCGAGAACAAGCAAGGGGCCACAAGGCTAGTCCATACGCAATGATAGAACAACTATAGAAGATGCAATAGTACAAGACAAGCATCTCTACAGAAGCAAGGGGCCACAAGGCCAGTCCACAAGCATATATATATAGCAAAAATAAAGAGATGCAAGAGTACAGTGCAAAACATCTCTACGCAAGCCAGTGAGGGCCTGTAGACACAAGGCCTAGCTGGGTGCAGAAACACTGGTGGTCACAAGGTGGCAATGCCTTGGTGAACATATCTGCAGTGTTGGCCTCAGAGACCACACGTACCACGCGGGCCTGGCCACGCTGCTGCAACTCGCACAGAAGGAAGTAACGAAGCTGGATGTGCTTCGCCTTCCAAACCAGTTGGGGCTCCTCGCACAACAGGACAGCATACATGTTGTCGGCGAACAAGACTGGGGGAGAGAAAGGCCGCTCACCAAGGTTGGTGAGGAGGAAAGACAGCCAGCGAAGCTCCTGGGCGGCCATGGCCGCAACGTACACCTCTGCCCGAGTCGACCTCCACGAAACAGCACCTGTCCCGATGCTAAAGGAGTACCCCTGTGTAGACCAACGCGTTTCCGCGTCGTCGGCCCACGACGAGTCCGAGTAACCTATGAGTGTAACTGGCTGCTTCCCTCCATGGACAAGTCCCATGCTTGATGTACTCGTCACATACTTTGCCACCCTCTTAGCAGCGTACCAGTGGGACGGTCGGTGTCTCCCAGGCGCAACAAAGCGCGCAAGGACGCTAAGAGGGTAAGCTAGGTCTTGGCGATTATAGGTCATCAGGTACATGAGACAACCCACCAGCTCAGGATATGGACCATTGGACTCAAATGACTTGTCCGAAGATGGAGCCGTGAGCCCATGATCCACAGCAAGAGGGGTAAGTTGTACCTCGAAGAACGGGAAGCGAAACCGCATGAGGATCTGCTCGACCATATGCGACTGCGTCAGCGTAATGGTGCAAGCTGCCCTGTCTGTGGTGATCTGCAGGCCAAGGTAGTGCTGCAGCTCACCAAGGTCAGTGCAAGTGTGTCTCCTCTCCAGTTCCTCCTTCACGGAGGCCAGCGCGCGTCGGTCGGGAGTGGCGAACACCAGGTCGTCGATGTAGACCAGAACAAACGGGGTAGAGCCACGGCGGACGAACAGTGACGGGTCGGCAGACGACGGAAAGAAGTCAAGCGCTGCAAGGGTCGAGCGAAGTGTGTCGTGCCACTCACGTGGAGCCTAGCGCAGGCCGCAGACTGGTCGACGCAGCTGCCACTGGGTCCCAGATGCGAAAGAGCCAGTGAAGCCAGGCGGACAACGCAGCCAGATCCGCTCGTGCAGGCTCCCCTGAAGGAACACGGTAGAAAGTCCAAGGAGTGCAACTCGTAGTCGCGTTGGGCTGCAATATGCAGCAACACACGAAGAGTACTCATCTTCGGGGTGGGAGCAAAGGTCTGGAAGAAGTCCACCCCCTCTCGCTGACTGAAGCTTCTCGCCACATAGTGCGCCTTGAACACTGGTGGTGATCCAGGCGGCCGCTTTACCTTGTAGAGCCATCGGCCACTGACGACGTTCATCCGAAGTGGTGGGACTGCGTCGACGTAAGTGCATGTGGACCTATAAGATGCCATCTCTGCCTCCTCAGCTGCTATCCAGTATTAGGCCCAAGGTCCCGAGACCGCCTCAGCGTGAGTGCGAGGGATCGGGGTGTCAAGAGTGTCTGGATCCCCCTCAGGGGCAAGCAACATGGCGCAGAGATGAGGAACAGCGGCCGCAAGGAAACCAAGCTCGAACTGCCTGTCCTTCAGAACCTCCAAGGGAAATACAGGAGCACCCCCAGAGGATGGAGAATGAGCAGGGCCACTCACTAGGTGAGCGGCCTAGTCAAGGCGGTGGGAAGAGGCAAAGCCAGCGACAGTGGTAACAAGAGCTGAGACAGACGACAGGGGTGCAGTCGGGTGAGTGACCAACGTGGACAAAACACGGGAGACGACAAGATGGGAGGCACGGAGGTAGTCGGATAACGGGTCGTGAAGCACAATGAGGGACGACTCAGGAGGTTGTGAGAGGACCGGAGGAGGTGGAACACGAGAGCGGAGAACAAGGTGAAACGGGCCGTCTACACGGTAACGAGACCGAAGGGGCTTTGGAGACACAGCACGACTGAGGGGAGAACGACGAGTCCACTAGGACGAGGAAAGGGACTGGACGGAGGGAACAGGAGGGGACGGTAGGGGACCACGAACCAAGCGTGCAGGTGCTGAGTCGGGCAGGTCGCGCAGTCGCAGTCACCGCTGCTCCGCCTCCTCTGGCGTCTGCTGCGACGGTACCTGCCCCTGCTGCTGCTCCTGTGGCTCCTCCTCTTCCCTCTCCTTCTGTGG